AGCTTAGGCCTGCTCCCTGCTGGCAAGTGGACATCCCCTGAGGGCTCCTGGGCTGCCAGAGGGATGTCTGACTGCCATCTCAGGCCCAATCCCCTGGGCGGGGGGGCCTAAGCCAGCAGGTGGTCATCCCCCGAGGAGTCCCAGACTGCGAGAGGGCACAGGCCAGGCGAGGGACCCCCGGAGTGCACAAATTTTTGTGCACCGGGCCTCTAGTACTGTAATAACTAGGTATGGTGCCAGGTTGCAAGGAGGGGGCCATTTTGTAAAGCATATGGTTGTCTAACCACTGTGCCGTACACCAGAAAGTAATACAAAATAATATTGAATGTCAACTGTAACTGAAAAATAAATGGAAAAAAAAAACTTTTCTGATGAAGCCAGCAATATTACCATATATGACATTTTGCTATTGTATAAAATGCACAAATATTTAGTAGATCTGCATAATTGCCTCTAACTGCCCTCCCCTACTGGCCCGGTCACCCCTAACTGCTCCCCCCTGCCAGTCTGCCCCCCCCCCCAACTGCTCTCCCCTTAAGGCCTGGTCGCCCCCAACTGCCCTCCCTTTCAGGACTGGTCCCTCCCAACTGCCCTCCCCTGGCAGCCATCTTGTGTCCACATGGGGGTGGCCATCTTGTGTGTTGGAGTGATGGTCAATTTGCATATTACTGCTTTATTATATAGGATGAGGCTTCCTTTTCCTTTTTTTAAAAGAAATATGTATATATTTTTTATTTCAGAGAGGAAGAGAGGGAGAGAGAAACATTAATGATGAGAATCATTAATTTGAGGGAGAATCATTGATTGACTGCCTCCTGCACATCCCCTACTGGGGATCAAGCCCACAGCCCAGGCACGTGCCCTTGACTGATATCGAATCTGGGACCCTTCAGTCCGCAGGCGTATGCTCTATCCACTGAGCTAAACCAGCTGGGCAAGGCTTCCTTTTCTTTATATGCTTCAACTAGATAAGATAGTACAACAGACTGGATGCAGAAGTGGATATGAAAATATTTCAATATTTTTGGGGGGGAAGGTTGATGATTCACTTAAAAATATATTAAGTTTTTTTTTATTAGAGTAATAATATTTTTAATTCCTCAATTTAAATTTCTCATATACTGTAGTAAATATGATTAATGTAGGCCACATAAAAGCTCTCTGGGATTCTCAATTACTTAAGAGTACAAAGGATTCTCAGAGCAAAAGTTTGCCACAACATGGATGAACCTAGAATGTATTATGTTCAGTGAAATAAGTCAGTCAGATAAAGACAAATAACAAATTAAATAAACAAACAAAACTGAAACAGAGTCAGACACAGAGAACAGAATGGTGGTTGCCAGAGGGGAGGGGAGTTGGGAGGCTGGGTGAAAAGGTGAAGGAATTCAGAAGTACAAATTGATATTACAAAATAGTCATGGGACTGTAAAGTACAGCATAGGGAGTATAGTCAATAATCTATCTATATAAAAATGTAATCTGCAAAGTGTCCCCGCAGGAGTTCAACTGGGAGACCAGGAGTTCTATCACTCGCTATGACATGCACTGATCACCAGGGGGCAGCACGGAACGAAGGGAAGCCCCAGCTGGGAGCTGGCAGCTGGGGAAGGAAGGCCCCAGCAGGTAGCCAGAGGCCCAGATGGGCCCTGATCGCCAGCCAGGCCTAGGGACTCTACCCATGCACGGATTTCATGCACCGGCCCTCTAGTACTGTAGTAACAAGGTATAGTGCCAGGTTGGAAGGGGGGACCACTTTGTAAGGTAGATGAGAACCATTGCTATAGCCCAATGGGTGTTATAATAGTAGAAATAAAGGATGGATGTTTAATTTTAAAAGAAACAGAACTTTTCACAGAAGAAAGCATACTGACTTAGAGACTGAAGAGTATATTTTTCAGTTTTTTGGGGAAGAGGGAGGGAATTCAATAAAATGGAATATTTCACTGAACCCTGTGATAAAAGAGAAGTAGACTGTGATAAAAATGTGTACAAGAGATAAAACTGAATAGGGAGGGAGCCTGAAGTTGGATTGGAAAGGGCTTGGCCTATACATTATAAAATGTAGTTTATTCTATTGAAAATGAGGACCCACCCATGAATTTGAGACTGAAGCACTTTTTTTCCCCAACCTGCATCTCCTGTGTGAACACTTGCATAATACTCAGCATATTCTTTTTTTATTCAAGTTTTGGGGGTGGAGTACAAGGTTTAGCTGTGGCATGAAGCAAGCCTTTATCTGGTACATAAGGCTCTGAAAGCTTGATTCAAAAGGTAAAAGGACATCAATAAACATTCACATTCAACAGCATGGTCCCTGCTTTATTAAAAAATGTTCAAGTAACTGGGTTTATACTTTATCCTTTCAGTTCAAACATATGGCAAATTCATGCTGCTCCAAGTGTACTGCTATATAAACAGGGCTCAAATAATTCTTTGTGTTTAATCTTCCGCTATCTTGTCTTGCTGTCCACTCCTGGTAGCACTGCAGACAACATAATGACATATTTCTGGAATATACTGCAGTGCTTTTAGCACTGCTCTGCCTACACAAAAACAAAACAAATCCATAATAGGGGCCTCTGGGATTCGAAGGGAAACGCCTCCAACAGGCGGACTGGTTGTTCTATGAGTCAATCAAATTATTCTTGGCAGAAAGCCAGGTAAATAGGAAACAGACTCAAAGAAGCTAATCTACAATTCTATGACTATACCTTTTTAAAATGTTCTGTATTTGACCAATCTTTACACTCGTCTCTATGTCTCTGCCCTCTGCTAAAGATAAATTATGCTACCAAAAACAAGAGCATTTTTAAAATGACGTATTGTCTCTAAAAAAGATTCACGCCATTCATTCACAGCAATGTTAAAGCAACTATAACTCTGCCTGATATAATATGTTGGGTACAGAGACACTGGCTGCTTTAGAAAACATTTAACGCTTAGTTAAAACTACAACTAGATCGAATTTTTGGATATTAAGGTCTCTATTTCCTTTTAGCACAACGGTAAATCCTCCTTATCTCTTGCTACTTTGACAGGCTATTACAACTTATCAGGACTTTTCAGTCGGAACTGTGGAGAACTACCTGGCAGCATACAACCAGCACCGGTAAGGCCAACTACCCACAAAACGTGTACTGAACTTTTTCAAAGCCCTGGCAGAATTTAACGTGGGAACAGTTTAATATGTAACAATGCACCCCGCGCTTTTGTTTTTTCATAAGCAGTCCACGCATCAAGATCCTACAAGCAAAACCGAATTCCTTTCGAGCGACTGGATGATTACATCTTCGCCTTCCTAAAATAGCCAACAGTTTACTCCAACCACCCGCGACCTGGGGTCAATCTGGAGAACCGACACCATGAGAGGCGGCAACCGATAGGGACAAGTCCTTCGTGAGCAAAGTAATGACAGACTCGAAAGGGGTGTCCTAGTTTTTGCCATCTCCCGCTCCCATCGCATGGCCCAGAGAGCAGCCCATCTTCAGTTAATCTTTTGGCCAAAATCTGGCGTCAGGTTTCCAACACGTTTTCGCCGGCTGCCACCTAAAGCGAAGCCGAGGAGGGAGAGGGGACGGCTTGCCAAGGATCCGCAGAGGGTGGAAACCGGGCGAGGAGCGGTTGCGGGGAAACGGCAATCCCTTCCCAAGGCCACTCTGTTTGCCCGGACTTCCACCCCGGAAAGTGCTATCAGACCAAGAGCCTTCATGTCCACCCATGTGCACTTTGCTCGGGGCCCGCGCGGGGCCGGGGCCCTAAAAGCCCCCAACCGCCTGCAGAAGAGGCGGGCGCCCACACAAGCCAGGGAACTTACCCAGTTTCTTCCACATGGCGAGGTGACAGGCGAGGAAGCCCTTGCGGATGGCAGCGCAAACCTTCGCGGGCTCGGACGAGGTGAACCCCTTCTGCTTCTTGATGAAACCCCATAAGTGCTCCCGGGCAAACTGTGCCGCCTCCCGCCCGCCGTGCCCATCGCACACGGCAAAAAACGCCACAGAGGAGCGGCGGCGGCAGC